TATATTATTTACATTTTACGCAGCGTTATTGACAAACGTGTTGAGTTGTGTGTGTTTTTGCAGCTCTGCCAACGAAGCGTGGCCCAATAATTCACTTTAATTCCGAAGCCGAATGGTTTGTGTTTGAAGCTGCGAAGGACAGTCCAGGAAGATTATGTTGACTTTGTATTCCGGCGGGAGAAAAAAAAACCTTCGGCCAGATGATGGCGATGATGTCGGCTGTTGACTTTTAAAGAGCTGTGCTATCTGGCAAGAAGGATGGCGGCACTCGGTTGGCCATGGTGACCTCTTGACCTCGGTGTGTGTCGTGTCTTTGATATTGTTGGCTTACACACCTGCGATTCGGAGATGTTAACCGCCTCGCCTGGTCTACAGGAGGCCGTGGGTTCGATCCCGACCCTGACGCCTGCTGCTGTATATTTTGAGTTTGCGAGTCTCTCTCCCCGTGGTCGCGTGGATTTTTCTCCGGGATTCTCCGGTTTTTCCCTCCACATGAAGAATCAACAAGACGTGTTTCGAGTATTTGGCTGCTAGAAATTTCCGCGTGATGACAAGCCAACTTCGCCGGGCCATCATTTGTGGCCAGCTCGCTTTTGAAAAACAGCTATTATAGTTCGGTGGTCCTTACCTGGTCAAATAAAACGATTTGAGTTTTAGGGTTGATGGAGCAAGCGACGATTTACAATGCGTGTGATGCACTCGGCTCAGTGGCAGTGCAGAAAATAGGTTTGCCAAACCTCCTGAACGAATTGTCACCTCCCTACCCCCGCCAGTGTCAATTGTTACGCAGGCTGGCCGCGTGTGGTGGGGTAAAGCGTGGGTACCTCTTCCAACACCAACACGTCTTTCTTGCCAGCCTGGGAGAGGAGGCCAAACACCCCTTAGAAGGAGGGTTCTGCATCTATTTAGTGTGTATGCCGTTTACATGATAATCAAATATATATATATATATATACACAAAAAATGTAATGCTTGTTCTTTTAAACTTTCCATATAATCATATTAATGAAGCATACGTGGGGGTATTATATATTTATTAATATATAGATATGTATTTTTCTCTACCTGGTTAGCGTGCTGCGCTATGAACCTGACAACCAAAATTTGATTCCTACTCACGGCCACTAACACCAGTGACGGTTACCTGAACCGGTCCTGGGCCTCCCCTAGGTCGACTCAGCTTCAAATGAGTACCTGGTGCGGTGCTGTAAACATCACCACTGGGGAGACAAAGGCGGCCAGGCCACCCACCTTTTCGTGTTCCGTGCCCGCCTTCATAGGTGCTCGCTAACAGCACTTGCCCAAAAAGCATGCGCAGGCTATACGGGGATCTTTGTCTTTGTTTATTTGTGAACCAGCTGTGAGACTCAGCCATGGCCAAGTGGTGTTTCGAGCTATTCTAGGTTTTCCCCTGGGGTCCACTCAACTTTCAGAGACATTAATGGGACATTGCTTTTTGTATCGCATAGCTCAAATTCTGCACAACGCTAATGATTTCTGTAGCGTATAATATAATTTTTGAGTCAAACTTTGACCCATATCTTAAAGGTTCCCTGCCTCTAACATTTGGCAGTTCACCAAAATCGATCCGACTCTGCTGATGAGATACTCGATCGATACCGATCCAACAGTTTGCTTGTCCTGAATCAATGCTGCTGCGATGCACTCCCAGAAGGCAGTGGGCCGATGGGTTGAGTAAAAACGACTTGAAATTTGTTTTAATTCGAGACACAATTCGATGAATGAGGTGTATTGTCTGCTTATTTATTTTGTTATAATCTGGGTAAAATTCAAACCCATTTGTGGCCGGATTTGTCCGGTTGCAATGAGCCTCGTAACCGGTTTTTGGATGAATTAATTCGAGTCAATCCTGCGACTGATCGACATTAACGATAAATCTTATCACGTACAGATTTACCGTTTTCTATTAATTATAAGACGCGCTCCCCCCTCTCCCCCCTCCCCTCTCTCCTCCCTCCCCCCTCTCCCCATCTCTCTCCCACTATATTTTGAGCAAAATTTGGGGGTGCCTTTTTATAATCCTGAAGAAGTCTCTCTCCCGATTCTAAAACAGCGCGATCGTGATCATCTTCCGGAAGGTGGCTCAGCGTAGTGCGCAACCGTATTCTCCAGATTATAAAACGACACTTGATTGTTATTTTAATCAAAACGTAACCCCAAAAACATTCGGGCGCGTCTTACTTTTGCGTGCGTGCCTCGTGCGTCTCGAAACACGATTTAAAAAAATCATCCGGCTTCCTCCGCGAGACTCGCCCTCTGGGAACCTCCACCGCACGGATTTCCCACGTGGGTAACGCTCATCTATTCACGTGAAAATTGGGTCTCGAGTCAATTGCAAATTAGGGACAGATATATTCATCATGACTGTCAATGCAACCGGCGCCGCCACCTGGGACACGCGGCAGCGCAACTTGCTTGAATATTTGTGGTCAACATCGCACCAGTGTACTGCGGTTTGGGTGAATTCCGCGAGTGTTTTTTTTTTAAATCCATGACGCTGTTACACGAGAAGGTTTTTTTTTGTTTGTTTGTGACAGTCGCAGCGATAGAATTGCTCGCGCGTTCGATGGCAAGAAGAGGCGAGCGTGCAAGTTGCTGACCCCCTCCGAATTGCCACTTTTCCGTGCGTGCGTTTTCTCTGATACGCATTGTCCTCGATGTGCACTGTCAGTAGAAACCGCGGGTGCACTGTGACGGTGATATCGACCCCAACGTCTTCCTCACTCGATGATCTTTAGCCGCAAGCCGGGGGGGGGGGGAGGGGAGGCACGCAGTGTTGCTTGTGCTTGGAACGACGCTGGGAGACAGAGAGGAGGGGCGCGCAGGGTGACGACACCGTCTGAACCGTGGAGAATGCTGGGCTCGGGCAGGACACGTCGCGGCCTGGGGGTGACGGCCTGGGGGTGACGGCCTGGGGGTGACGGCCTGGGGGTGACGGCCTGGGGGTGACGGCCTGGGGGTGACGGTGTGGGGGGTGACAGTCTGGGGGGTGACGGTGTGGGGGGTGACGGTGTGGGGGGTGACGGTGTGGGGGGTGACGGTGTGGGGGGTGACGGCGTGGGGGTGACGGCGTGGGGGGTGACGGTTTAGGGGGTGACGGTTTAGGGGGTGAGGGCGTGGGGGGTGAGGGCGTGGGGGGTGACGGTCTGGGGGGTGACGGCGTGGGGGGTGAGGGCCTGGGGGGTGACGGGAGCCATGGGAGCAGCTCGTACCCAGGAAGGTGCCCGGTGGATAGTGACGTCGCAGGATCGTGAGAGACGGTGGCAGATTGGGGGCGGCCTTCATCCAGCAGTGGATTGACCATGGCCGATGATGACGAATGAGTGCCCCTTAAGGCGCGAGATCGTGAGGTGGCCAGGCTGGCCCAGCGGACTGATACCCAAGCGGAGTCGACGGCGTCGAGATCCCGGACACGAATCCAGGCAGCCACTCGTGATGAGAGCGTGCGGGATATTCTGAGTGCAGCGAGTAGAGGAGGTGGCCGCATGGTTGAGATGTCGGAGCGTTTAGCTGCTCTCGTAGCAGGGTGTGGATGTGCCACCTCTGCAGCGAAGGTTTGGTGGATCACACGCAGAGATTCTGTCAACCTCTCTTCTTGTGGGTGTCGAGGAGGAGCGGTACCCTGGCTCGCCAGGAGAATGCGGTACAGCAAAACGCGGAGGGAAGTTCTCTGTCCCTTCTGTGTGGGATAGAGTGATGAGCTGTGTGTCGTGGAAGCCGGGTGGTGTGGTGGTGGTCTCGCTGATGAGCTGTGTGTCGTGGAAGCCGAGTGGTGTAGTGGTGATCTCGCTGATGAGCTGTGTGTCGTGGAAGCCGGGTGGTGTGGTGGCGGGCTCGCTGATGAGCTGTGTGTCGTGGAAGCCGGGTGGTGTGGTGGTGGTTTCGCTGATGAGCTGTGTGTCGTGGAAGCCGGGTGGTGTGGTGGTGGGCTCGCTGATGAGCTGTGTGTCGTGGAAGCCGGGTGGTGTGGTGGCGGGCTCGCTGATGAGCTGTGTGTCGTGGAAGCCGGGTGGTGTGGGGGCGGGCTCGCTGATGAGCTGTGAGTCGTGGAAGCCGGGTGGTGTAGTGGTGGTTTCGCTGATGAGATGTGTCGTGGAAGCCGGGTGGTGTGGTGGTGGGCTCGCTGATGAGCTGTGTGTCGTGGAAGCCGGGTGGTGTGGTGGTGGTTTCGCTGATGAGCTGTGTCGTGGAAGCCAGGTGGTGTGGTGGTGGGCTCGCTGATGAGCTTTGTGTCGTGGAAACCGGGTGGTGTGGTGGTGGTCTCGCTGATGAGCTGTGTGTCGTGGAAGCCGGGTGGTGTAGTGGTGGTTTCGCTGATGAGCTGTGTGTCGTGGAAGCCGGGTGGTGTGGTGGTGGGCTCGCTGATGAGCTGTGTGTCGTGGATGCCGGGTGGTGTGGTGGTGGTCTCGCTGATGAGCTGTGTGTCGTGGAAGCCGGGTGGTGTGGTGGTGGTCTCGCTGATGAGCTGTGTGTCGTGGATGCCGGGTGGTGTGGTAGCGGGCTCGCTGATGAGCTGTGTGTCGTGGAAACCGGGTGGTGTGGTGGTGGTCTCGCTGATGAGCTGTGTGTCGTGGAAGCCGGGTGGTGTGGTGGTGGTCTCGCTGATGAACTGTGAGTCGTGGAAGCCGGGTGGTGTAGTGGTGGTTTCGCTGATGAGATGTGTCGTGGAAGCCGGGTGGTGTGGTGGTGGGCTCGCTGATGAGCTGTGTGTCGTGGAAACCGGGTGGTGTGGTGGTGGTTTCGCTGATGAGCTGTGTGTCGTGGAAGCCGTGTGGTGTGGTGGTGGGCTCGCTGATGAGCTGTGTGTCGTGGAAGCCGGGTGGTGTGGTGGCGGGCTCGCTGATGAGCTGTGTGTCGTGGAAGCCGAGTGGTGTGGTGGTGGGCTCGCTGATGAGCTGTGTGTCGTGGAAACGCGAAGATGCTATTGGGGGAACCCTTGTCTCCCTGTGTGTGCTGTGCGTGCACCGCGTCCGGCGCAGATCCTCGTGAACATGGGCAACAGCTTCGATGTGGAGACGGGCACCTTCTCCGCACCGCGCAAGGGCGTCTACAGCTTCAGCTTCCACGTGGTGAAGGTGTACAACAGGCAGACCATCGAGGTGCCCGCGACACGTCCACACAGCCACCACGCGCTGGGCTCCAAGCCCCTCCTCTCTCTCGGCCCCGCCCACTTCTCGATAACCACGCCCACCCCCCACTGCACCAACACCACGCCCGGCCGCCTTTGTCTCTCCCCCAAGTGGCGATGTTCACACACTGTAGCAGGTACTCACTTGAGGCTGAGTCGACGTAGGGGAGGTCAAGGGCCGGTTCAGATAATCGTCACTGATGGTGTTGGTGGCCGTGAACGGGAATCGAATGTTACTTGGTTGCCAGGTTCGTGGTGCAGCGTGCTAACCGCTGCACGGCGGCTCCCCACTGATCCACGCGATTCATTGGTGCTGTCCGTGGCCGGGTGGCTAAGGCAACTCATCATGGCCGCGTCGGAGACGTGGCGCTGAGACCGCTGAGCTCCTGGGATCGAGGTCTAGGACTCGGCCATCCGTTAGGTGGAGTTCCTTGATGTGTGCGTGGCCACCAACCTCGTCTTGATGCAAAATCCATGTTTGGTCCGGATCGCCGCTTGGGTAGAATCCCTAATGTGTGTGTCGTACACCCTACACCACGGGACACGCACGAATCAATACCCCAGTGGCGGTGATGGTGGTGATGGCGGTGATGGTCATTGTGCTGCTGCTGGTAGTTGTTGGTGGTGGTGATGGTGGTGATGTTGGTGATGGTGGTGGTGATGTTGTCACGGAATTTGTTAGCCACAATTTATGTTTTCGTCCAGAAAGGAATGTTCAATAATCCCCCTAGAAATCGTTATTTGGTAATATTAGTTCATATTCGGAATATTTGTACCCCCATATTCTTTCCGACAAAGTCAATATTTATTTCGCATATAAATATATTCTCACGCACGTTCAAATAAAACGTTTTATGGAAGCCCAAGTTCCAAACTTATCTGTCGAAAGAGCGGCTCAGTTTTGCTTTCAGCAGTTTCCCCGTATCCCAACTCCGGTGTCTGGTCCCAACGTTGTCTGGACGAGTGCCAGCCCCACGTGAGACCCCTTGGTCACCATGCGGTTCGCTCACGTGGGAACATTAAACATGAAATCCTCCCCGTCACCTCTGTCCGACCAGCAGTCACAACATTTGTACGTCACAGCGAGTCGATCGGCGGCAGGCCACGTGTGCTGCTGGCGGTGATGCTAAAGTGTGCGTGGAAGATTCGGCCACGATCTAGGGGCACCCTAGCTAGTGGAGGTCCTTCCATCAGCAGGGTTGTCAACAGGCAATTGCAGGGCTGTACCTTTATTACGGATATTCTGAGAATTTAAGTAAATCCACACTGGTTAAGTAATATGGGCAAATATTATGTTAAGTAAATACCTTAAAAATGTCTTCTTTGGTTCTTTCGGTAAAGTCACGTAGAATGAGAATAAAATAATAAATTGATAAAATAAAATAAAATAACAGCGCTGTCCTACCAGACAGTTTCGTCCCTTCACCCGATGAAGGCCGCTTGTGGTGTGGCCGAAACGTCGTGAGAATATTATTGTGTTATTTTATTTTATTTTATCAATTTATTATTTTATTCTCATTCTACGTGACTTTACCGAAAGAACCAAAGAAGATGAATCCTTGCAGTCACGAAAGCTTTAAATCGAACCTTAAAAATGCATGTGTTGTGTGTTCTAGTTTTAAAATTGGGTATTTAAAACTGTAAATACATTCTTAAAACATGTTTTATTTTTAAATTAAGTTTTATTTGGTGACGCAGGTGAGTGGCATTCAGCTGCTTTGCAAGCAAGACCCGCGGAGTACCTTATACGAGAAGTTACATCGTTAGCATACAGAACAACACATAATTACATACAGAACAACACAATTACAAACAGAACAACACCAACAACAATCATTAAAACAACATTTAAACCTGAGATATGCGCTTCAACATTGGAAGGTGTACCGTTAGGGGCAAAGACACTTTACAAGACACAAGCAACAACAACAAAATAAATACGAATACAAATCTCTATGAGGACCCTTTGTTTGCCAGTAGCAATGGTATGTACGGTGGACTTCATTCGCACCGTACGTAGCCAGCCGTGCTAATCGGAGATGATGATGATGATGATGACGATGCCTTGTGCAGTAGTCGGTGTCTTCGATGCGGTGTTTGACCAAGTGAACGCCTTCCTGTCGGCTGAAGCCGAGTGGTTTATTTTAGTTTCCCCCATCGAGAACGCGTCCGTGTGTGCGTTTGTTGAACTTCCAAGGGGAGCGGTGGTGCAGCGGTTAGCGCTACGCCGCGCTACGAACCTGGCGACTCGGGTTCGATTCCTGCTCACGGCCAAGACCAGTGACGATTATTTTTCACCGGTCCTGGACCTCCCCTAGGTCAACTCGGCCTCAAATGAGTACCTGGTGCGATGTGTAAACATCGCCACTGGGGAGACAAAGGCGGCCGGGCGTGGTGCTGGCCACCCACCCCCTCGTGCGCCGTGCCGGTCTTCAAAGGTGCTCGCTAACAGCACTTGCCCCAACAGTCTGTTAAGGCTACACGGGGGATCTTTGTCTTTGTGCGCCAATGGGAGGCGCGAGAGAGCGACCAGTGGCCACACGGCCGCGCCTGACGAACGCGCGGCGCTGTGTGGGGTGCTGCGTGTGTGCCCACCCCCACCCACCTTCACCCCCACCCACCTCCACCCTCACCCACCTCCACCCTCACCCACCTCCATCCACCCCCACCCATCCACCCCCACCCATCCACCCTCACCCACCCATCCTTCCCCACCCACCCCCACCCACCCTCACCCACCCACTCCCACCCACCCATCCCCACCCACCCCCACCCACCCTCACCCACCCACCCACTGCCACCCACCCACCCACTGCCACCCACCCACCCCCTCCCACCCACCCTCACCCACCCACTCCCACCCATCCTCACCCACCCCAAACACCCCCACCCACCCACCCTCACCCACCCTCACTCACCCACCCACCACACCCACCCACCACACCCACCCACCCCCACCGACCCCTCACTACAAAGGTGGCGCTCGTGATGAACGGCTGGGCCGTGATCTCGGCCTTCGCCGGAGACCAGGACGTGACCAGAGAGGCGGCGAGCAACGGCGTCCTCCTCTCCATGGACAAGGGCAACCGCGTGCACCTCAAGCTGGAGCGGGGCACGCTCACGGGCGGCTGGAAGTTCTCCACCTTCTCTGGGTTCCTCGTCTTCCCGCTGTGATGCGGACCCCGCACGCGAGGAGGAGGACGTGGGGGAGGAGGATGAGGAGAGAGAAGACGTCCATTGGGCTGAGGGGCAGCGACTCTTGGTTGGGATTGCGATCACGTAGTGGCAGCAGTGACGATGGAAGCGTTTTATGAATTGCCCATTAAATATTCAGCGTGTACATAATTGCGTGCTGTGTTAGGAGCCCGCAGTGCCCACAGACGCACGCACACGCATGTCAACACGCGTGCGGTCACCATACAGACATCCCCAATTACACGCGTGTGCGCACACGTAGGCACACAATACATGCGAGCAACAAAGGTCCCCCGTATAGCCTTGACAGGCTGTTGGGGCAAGTGCTGTTTGCGAGCACCTATGAAAGCCGGCACGGCACTGGAGGGGGTGGGTGGCCAGCACCACGCCTGGCCGCCTTTGTCTCCCCCAACGCCGATGTTTACAGACGATGATACCAGGTACTCATTTGAGTGTCGGGGAGGCCTAAGACTGGATACTCAAGTACACAAACAGCAGGATGGCCACTTAGCCGTAGAGCTCATCAGAAGAAGTGCCTGTGACAGTCAACACTGATAATACACACAGCCACAATACACACAGACACAATACACACATCCACAATACACACAGCCACAATACACACATACACAATACACACAGCCACAATACACACAGCCACAATACACACAGACACAATACACACAGACACAATACACACAGCCACAATACACACAGCCACAATACACACAGCCACAATAAACACAGCCACAATACACACAGACACAATACACACAGACACAATACACACATACACAATACACACAGCCACAATACACACAGACACAATACACACAGACACAATACACACAGCCATAATACACACAGCCATCATTCACACAGACACAATACACACAGCCACAATACACACAGACACAATGCACACAGCCATAATACACACAGACACAATACACACAGGTATACAAATATAAAACGCATACGACAGTGTTCACACAAATCTGATCGTGTTATACTCATGTACACATCGCGTACACACAATAATCCTCATCGGCCGTCACAATATTCTACAATGTGCATCCCGATAGCACATGGAGCTGCCAATGAAAATAACAGAAGAACAACAACACCTGTTTTCGAATTCAGCAAGAAAAACAACTCAATATTTCAAGATCCGCAATGCGCTGTGTTGGTGGTGAACACGAAACTGTGCTGGTGGTGGTGGTGAACACAAGACTGTGCTGGTGTTGGTGGTGAACACGAGACTGTGCTGGTGTTGGTGGTGAACACGAGACTGTGCTGGTGTTGGTGGTGAACACAAGACTGTGCTGGTGTTGGTGGTGGTGAACACGAGATGTTGTGGTGGCACCTTAACGAATAGCGTCACGAGGCAGCAGCTCCTTAACGAGCCGCATGCGGCAGCAGTTGGCCGAGCCCTGCGTCTTGGCGTCATCTCGGTGCCACCGCTCTGGGCCACGAGGACTTCGTAGACGGCACAACCAAAGTGCCGGGGTGACGGCCGTCGGGGGGGGAGGGGGCAGGGGGGGTCCACACGAGTGGCAGGGAGCGCCACGCCAGGGTGGGTGGTCCTGGTGGTCGTGGTGATGGTCGTGGTGGTGGTGACGGTGATGGTCGTGGTGGTGGTCGTGGTGGTGGTGATGGTCGTGGTGGTGGTCGTGGTGGTGGTGGTGGTGATGGTCGTGGTGGTGGTCGTGGTGGTGGTGGTGATGGTGGTGGTCGTGGTGGTGGTCGTGGTGGTGGTGGTGATGGTCGTGGTGGTGGTGGTGGTGGAGGGGTAGCGGTGAGCGCAGCTGCGATTCCCGCTCGCGGGCAACACCGGTGACGATTTTCTGAACCGGTGCTGGGGCCCTCCCTTAGGTCGACTCAGCCTCAAATGAGTCCCTGGTGCGGTGTTGTAAACATCGCCACTGGGTGAGGCAAAGGCCACCGGACCCCTCGTGTGCCGTGCCGGCCTTCATTCGGAGCTCGCTAACAGCACTTGCCCCAGCAGTCCCTTCAGACTATACCGGGGAGCTTTGTCTTTGGTGTTGGTGGTGTTGCCAGCAGGACCGAACACCCCCCCCCACCCCCGGTCAACGTTTCGCCTTCCTGTTGTTGATGTTCACGGATTATCATTTAAGGCTGAGTCTACCTAGGAGTGGCCCAGGATAGGGCCGGGGGCGGGGGGGGGGGGTCAGATATCGATTACCAATTAAGTGGATTTCCTGCAAAGTGAAACTACGAGGTCACGGCGTGTGTTAACCACGTGCCAACAAAATTCCCATACGCAGACAAAAAACCAAAGCCACCAATAACGCAAACAAAAGCAGCGCCACTCTCAATGCAACGCGGCGTCGTGCGATGCAACCGGCACCTCGAGACGCTCTGACAACAGCGAGGCGCTCGCGGCCACTGCGTTAGGACACTGGGAGAGCGAGGGTTGGGGCAGGGACACCACGGTACGACTCGCAGGTCATTGTCACCACAGTGACGAGTTGAATGGTGCAGCTGCAGCGGTGCTGGGCTAACAAGTCTCGGTCAAAACGCGCGCGCACCGCTGCAGCGATGGACCAGGGTAGAGGCGCAGCCCTGAGACCTCTCGCTCGCGGCACTGCTGGCGGTAGGAGTCTGCGCCAGGTTGAGTTCTCGAGAGATCGCTACCCCCCCCCCACCCCCCCGCCGCGTCCAGAGAGTGTTTTGGCCTCCTCTTCCACACCGACCGAGACGCCCTGGGAAGTTTACGCTGCGTCCATTCTTCACACCGCCGTCGAATCATTGCATCGCACGCAAACAAAACACACACGGACACACACACACACACAACACACACACAACACACACGGACACACACACACACGCGCGTCTAGGGCCACACAACACACACAACACACACGGACACACACACGGACACACACACAACACACAACACACACGGACACACACACACACGCGCGTCTAGGGCCACACAACACACACACAACACACACAACACACACAACACAATCACAACACACACAACACACAACACACACAAACACAACACACACGCGTCTAGGGGCACACAACACACACAACACACACACCACACACAACACGCACACAACACGCACACAAAACGCACACACACAGCACACACAACACACACACAACACGCACACACACAATACACACACAACACACACAACACACACAACACACACAACACGCACACAACACGTACACAAAACGCACACACACAACACACACACAATACACACAACACGCACACACACAATACACACACAACACACACACAACACACATAACCGCGCGCAGAAAGGGCACGGCGATCGAATTCCAATGGAGCCGCTATTGAACCAGTTTGTTGTTGTTGTTGACATTTTCGCGGAGTCTGGCCGAGACGCGCGACGTTCTCTCTGATTGAGCAGCGCCACTTTTGTCGAATCCCAGCGCATCGCGAGCGAGCAGATGAACCTGCACACCGCACACCACACACCGCACACTGCACACCGCACACTGCACACCGCACACAGCACACGTGAGCGGCACGGGGGTCAAAGGCGCATCCCTGCAGGCGCTCGCTCTCGCCACTGCCCGGTGGAAAGGTCTCCACGAAGAGGGAGCTCGCGAGTACCTCCCCTCTCCGCCCACCGCTCTTCAGCTTTTTCTTCCACGTCTTTGAAGAGGCGGGATGACCCCACGCGTTGACCCCACCGCGTGCGAGCCGCCGATCGACTCGCGGTGGTGAACAGATTCATCTCTGCTGGCGGACGGGAATGGGCGAGTTCACGACTGAAAAGCAGCACCAGAGGAACAAACGAACAGGCCACGCGTGAGCTTCACTCCGACTGCTGCGCCGATAAAGAGGAGACGCAACGGAAGGGAGGCCAATCGCCGGATGGATGGCTCCGTCTGTCTCGCGAGCGTGGGAGGGTGCGATCGGAGGATTGTGAATCTAGAAAGGGACATTTGCCTACCGAGGCAGCTCCTCGTCATCCGCCCGGACGGCGCCGCTCGTGCTCGGGAAGGGCTCCACGCACGTGCGGAGAGGTTGCGGGTTCACATCCCCGCTGGGGAGGAGGTGGGGGAGAGGTGGGGGGGGGGAGAGCCCTTCGTAATCAATCACCACCACCAACCACCATCATCATCCCTAAGGTGGTCATTAAACAAGAGAGAACCACTTAGTGGCGAGTCAAATCGACTGTTTGCCTCGCAGAGGGACTTGACCTCTGCCGAAGGAATGTGGAATTTCCAACCGAATGGAGCTGAGCACCGCTGCTCCCCGCGCTCGCGGGAGACGACTGATTGTGACTGGCCGCTCTTTACCTCGGCAACACCGCCCCCCCCCCAACCCCATCGCCCCCCCCCCCCACGCGCTTGCGAATACTGCCCATGTGGACACTGTCGCCTGCATGACGGCGTCGTGGTGTTGTAGCTGGCCGTGCCTCGCGAGTGTTGGCTGTGGATCTGCGGAGTCGCCGTCCGGGCCTCTCGTGCCCACCGCGGCGACAGATGACGGCTCGCGCCCTCGCCCCGGCGCCTCGGGCGGGACACTTCTCGTCGCGCGCACGCGCCGCTTCAAGACGCCGCTCCAAGACGCCGCTCCAAGACGCCGCTTCAAGACGCCGTTCCAAGACGCCGCTTCAAGACGCCGCTTCAAGACGTCGCTTCAAGACGCCGCTCCAAGACGCCGCTTCAAGACGCCGCTTCAAGACGCCGCTCCAAGACGCCGCTTCAAGACGCCGTTCCAAGACGCCGCTTCAAGACGCCGCTTCAAGACGCCGCTTCAAGACGCCGCTCCAAGACGCCGCTCCAAGACGCCGCTCCAAGACGCCGCTTCAAGACGCCACTTCAAGACGCCGCTTCAAGACGCCGCTTCAAGACGCCGCTTCAAGACACCGCTTCAAGACGCCGCTTCAAGACGCCGCTCCAATACGCCGCTCCAATACGCCGCTTCAAGACGCCGCTTCAAGACGCCGCTCCAAGACGCCGCTCCAAGACGCCGTTTCAAGACGCCGTTTCAAGACGCCGCTCCAAGACGCCGCTCCAAGACGCCGCTTCAAGACGCCGCTTCAAGACGCCGCTTCAAGACGCCGCTCCAAGACGCCGCTTCAAGACGCCGCTCCAAGACGCCGCTCCAAGACGCCGCTTCAAGACGCCGCTCCAAGACGCCGCTCCAAGACGCCGCTTCAAGACGCCGCTCCAAGACGCCGCTCCAAGACGCCGCTCCAAGACGCCGCTTCAAGACGCCGCTCCAAGACGCCGCTCCAAGACGACGCTCCAAGACGCCGCTTCAAGACGCCGCTTCAAGACGCCGCTCCAAGACGCCGCTTCAAGACGCCGCTCCAAGACGCCGCTCCAAGACGCCGCTTCAAGACGCCGCTCCAAGACGCCGCTCAAAGACGCCGCTCCAAGACGCCGCTTCAAGACGCCGCTCCAAGACGCCGCTCCAAGACGCCGCTCCAAGACGCCGCTCCAAGACGCCGCTTCAAGACGCCGCTCCAAGACGTCGCCGCTGTCAGCCCGGTGTGGTCGGGCTGCAGACGGGACGGGGAAAGTTGTCCGCGCGTTGACCACACGAGTTGGGACGTCCCACGGCCGCGTCCTTGCGTAACACCCCAGCAACG